ATGCAAATTGCAACCCTTTGATAATATTCCCACTAGATGCCCCTTGAAAGAGAACCGAGAGACCCTCAACAGCTATGTCAAACAGAAAAGGGGAAATCGGGTCTCCTTGACGTAGTCCTCACCGAATAGAGAATTCTTTTAAAGGAGATCCATTGATCAGGACCGAGAGTTTTGATGAAGAAAGACATTCATAAATCATAGTTCTCCATTTTCTGCCAAACCCCATATAACCCATGATGTCATCTAGGTAATCCTAGGAGACTGAGTCGAAGGCTTTATGGAAATCGATCTTGAAAATCAGACCTGTCGTTTTTCGCCTTTTTAGATCACTCACCAGCTCATTTGCAATCATAAAGCCATCTATAATATTGTGGTCTGCTATAAACGTTGATTGGTTAATGCTAATGATATCTTGCATAACAGTTTTCAGTCTAGATGCAAGGATTTTGGCAATGATCTTGTAGATACCATGAATCATGCTGATGGGCCGAAAATCTTTAAACTCTATGGGTTCTACTGTCTTGGAGAGGAGAGTTACGTAGGTTGTATTGATTCCTTTGGACAACCTTCCTGTTCTGAAGAAGCTTAAGACTATATCAAGGATGTCTTGAGCAATGAAATCCCATGCTAATCTGTAGAATTTGAAGTTGAAACCATCTGGTCCAGGACATTTTGACCCATCACAATCCCATACACTGCGTTTCACTTCTTCCATTGTGATTTCCTGCTCCAGCCATTCAGAGGATTCTTTAGAGAGGCATTTGAAACCCAAGGGATTTAACTGCGGCTTTTTTCCAAAGGGGGAGTCATACAGCTCAGAGAAATAATCCACAACGGCCTACTTAATACCCTGCTGAAAATCAAAAGTGTTGTCATTATGGTGGATTTTAAGGATAGATGATTTAGCCTTCCTGAAATTGGCAATCAAATGAAAGAACTTGTTATTTCTATCACCCAATTTGCACCACATCTGTCTTGATTTCTGCCTCCAAATAGATTCAATGTGATTGTTGTGAACCCAGCGGTCTTTCAACAAAAAGTCTAAATGCTCCTACTCTTGGTCGGTTATACCTTCTGCTTCACATTTTTCCTCTAGCATGTTGATAGCTGAAAGGGTTCGTTGAAGGGTAGCTTCTTGATTTCCAAATTCAAGCTTATTCCATTGCCTTAATCTGACTGCAATATGATTGAGTTTTTTGAGAAATTTAAAGCGGCCAGGGTGAAGGGAGCATGCATCATTCCAGAAGTTTTCAATAATATGCTTGAAATTTGGGTACTCAGTCCAACAGTCCAAGAAACGAAAAGGACGCCATCCATGGTCCTGCAAGAAGCTAGATAGAATTAAAGGGCAATGATCCGAGAACTCTCTTGGAAGTCGTCGAAGAGATAAACTGGGGAAGTGAAGATGGCAGGATGAGTTTGCAAACATACGGTCTAGTTTGCTCTTGGACCCTCCTCTGAACCAAGTAAAGTGACCTTCTGCTAAAGGGTATTCAGTGAGCTCACAAGACTGCAGAAATCTGCTAAAAGAATTTGAACCTGCAGGATGACAGATTCCACTGTTTCTGTCTTTATGAGAGAGTGTTTCATTAAAATCTCCTGTTATTATCCAGGGAACTTCAAAAGCGTGCTTAAGAAGAATGAGATCATCCCAAAGTTTTTGTCTGTCCAGATAGTTACAAGGAGCATAGATGCCAATAACAAAGTAATGAAAATCACTATGAACATGTTTACCATATAAACCGATCCAACCATGACCATATTCAATATTAAAGACTTCAAAGTTAGTGTTTTTGCACATAGCAAGCAGACCTCCTTTTGATCCCTGAGCATCATTACTAAACCAACTAACATGATTTTGATTCCAAATACGAGATACAAAGCCAATTGAACAATTAGCTAGCTTAGTTTCCAGCAAGAAACATATATCAATCTTATATTCTGATATTAATTTCATGATTCTTCTTCGTTTCCTCATCATGCCCAAGCCACAGGAATTCCAAGAAAGAATATTCATGATAGAATTAAAAGATCTATCTGCAAGGACAGGGATGAAAACTTACTATTCATTATTGTTTCTGCCAATCTTCCCTCTCATTTTCTAGCTGTCTTATGATAAGCCCATAAAATTTTTCCAAGAGAGCTGAATTACCAAGACCCAAAGCTTCTCCCAAATGGATCATTTTATTGACTTCATTATGAGACGACTCCGCTGCAGATTTCTTTAGGTTACGGTTATTATTCACCCTGATGTAAGAGTCTATAGAAGATATGCTTGCTGAAGAGTGCAAGGAGAGGAGACTCCCAGTGGAGGATATTTTTTTTAGTCTTGGTTGTTTGGTTGTTGTGGTCCGATGTTGGTTGGGTGTAAGAGGCGGGCCTTGGACTTTGCAGTGGGATTCTAAAGAATTATCACTGCTGACAGGGGTATAAGGTTGTGGCGAGAAAAAGTCTTTTTTGAAGGCCATGCTTTGGTGCTCCAGTGGGCTTGCTGAATTTACGTTGTATAAGACAAGGCCCCGTTCTGCTTAGAGTTGATTTTGGGAAAGCTTGTTAGGAGAGAAACAGTGGTGGGGGGTCCTTGGAGCCGTTATTTCTGGAAAGAGATCTTCAACAATGATATGTAGCCGTTCTGTGTTGTCAGTGGCATTTATTGTGGCTGGAAAGCTATGATCGTAGACCTCATAAATGCGTTGTATATTATGATGTTTTCTTGTCATTGCGTTAAATGCAAGAAACAATATGTCGACTAGCCTTGGCCATATATTATGATGTTAAATGCGTTGTATTCTTTTGCCAATTACTTTTGAGAGACAATGTATATGCTTGCATCCCACCAGATAGTTTCATGTGCATAACCTCTTATAGTTGAATTTCAGTCCCGCCCACATTATTCTAAAAACTTCACACAAGAAACAGCATATAAGCCCTTTATAACTGGATAGTGTTGAAAATCAGTTCTTTAAGACCAATTATCCTCATTTTTTTCTAAATTAGAGGGAGCAGACGTGGGGGTCCTTGGAGCCACTATTTTTGGAAAGAGATCTTCAACAATGATATGTAGTTTAGGCTTTGCAGTGGGATTTTAAAGAATTATAACTGCTGACAGGGGTATAAGGTTATGGCAAGAAAAAGTCATTTTTGAAGGCCATGCTTTAGTACTCTAGTAGGCTTGCTAAATTTACATCGTATAAGACAAGAACCTGTTTTGCTTGGAGTTGATTTTGGGAAAGCTTGTTAGGAAAGAAACAGTGGTAGGGGTCCTTGGAGCCACTATTTCTGGAAAGAGATCGTAGACCTGGAAAGAGATACGTAGCCGTTCTGTGTTGTCAGTGGCATTTATTATGGCCGGAAAGCTATGATCGTAGACCTCATATGTCCCATGTGGGTTGTGCTTCCTTGCCTCCAGCGTGTGTGCCTTGTCATCAGCTCTAAAATTCTTAGCAGCAATAGCCAGCCTGCAAATGTTGTCATCTCCTGCCAAGTCAAAAGCCAGATCAGTGTACACTTCATCATCTGAGTCACTGTCAGCATCTTCTCCCTGAAGTAATGTGGTTTGAAATTCTACCATGGAGTATGAAATTCCTTTTGCCTCTGGATATCTTAAAGGGTCAATCTCATCCAGCTGTATGTGTACTAACTTGGAGTTTAGCATGAGATCTATAGAGTCGTGGATCTCCGGCAAGTGGGTACCTATAAGGATTTTCACGCTGTGAAGTTCAGAGATTTTTAGGCTGGTCTTGTCAAAACCTATCACCCGTCCATGGTTCATGAGGAGGTTTGAGATACATCTCAGACTCCAGCCAGAGATAGGCAAATGAGAGATGGAGATCCATGCTAGACGACTCTCTGTCACATCTTCTTCCGTCCACGGGCGAACTTCATCAAAGTAGAGCTTCCAGCATTCCATACCTTTCTGCATGGCTTGTTGCATAGATTTCTCACCATCAAAGCTTATGATTGCCTGGGAACCCCCCAGGAAACGGACAGCAGAGAAGCAGATGCCTAGTTGAATTAATCCATGTCTGATTTGTGCATAATCTACCCCTTGAGATATCTTGCCTATAAGACTATTTCTTAACCATAGAATTTCCTCATCTGTAGTGTTGAAAGAGATGAAGTTATGAGGACGTGGTGTGGCATTATCAGACGCTTGATGCACTTGACTCCCTAATCTTACTGCCTCAAGATAGCTTCGGTTGTCTCTTACACGGATGGGGACCTTGGCTTTGTTGTTGAGCTTGGATATTTGTTTCCCTGTTACCACTGTTTTCTGTTTCATCACTGCATCTTTTTTTCTGTGCTTAGCCACATTAACTCTCAATTTGTAGGTATCAAACCATATGTCATTTAAACATTCTAGCAGAGTTTTGTCTGACAGATTCGAGAGGATGGTGACGAAGCCAAAATGCTTTCCTGCTTGATTTGTTTTCTGAGAAACAAACAACTTAATAACTTTGCCCTGTTTTCTGAAACGGTCTTTGAGCTGATGGTAATCGACCCAACTTGGGAAGTTTTCAAAGTAACATTGTAGGTGAAAACCACGGTAGTTTGTTGAAGTCTGAGTGTTTAAGGTGATGGATGGTAGCTGAGGCTGGGGGTAAGATGGCTTGTTTGGAAGATCAGGTTGTTTTCTGTGTTTGTGAGAAGGAATTATGTTTGTCTGGAACGGTGGCTGGGTTTTTTGAAAGAGAGCTTTTTCCCCCCATAGCTAGAGCTTTTGAACATTGAACCTTGCTTTCTTGTGTTTTAGAAAAGAGGAATTGTACCCGTGTTTGCAATTAGTGGGAGAAGATTCAACCAAATTATTCAAATAATTTTTTAACCCACACATATTCTAAATTTTAAGTTTTTAAAGCCAAAAAACCAACTTCAATTGAATAGAACCGAACAGGTTTGTTTAAACTGGTTTTCAATTTGGTTTGCATTAAATTTTTTAGAAATTAAGAAATCCAGTTTGGTTGGAAATTTTAGACCGAACCAATCTGGGTTTTGAACACCCTGTATACAGGCTAGCATAAGCAAACCTATGCTAAAATGTTTAATGACACTCTTTATAACATGATAACGCAAGTTTAAGTTGTGTTTATGCAGCGGCAGCGTCTACATTCACACGGTTCTTCCCACGAATCAAGGCAAGATATGACTATGGATTCGTGATATTTATACTAGCATTCAGTCTAGTATCTGTTTCGGGGTATCGAGTTGAAAAACTCTTAGTCCTGACACATCAAAGGCTGTCAACAGTGCTCATAGGTGGAGCGACCTGCATACTTTTATCGTTCATTTTTCCAGTTTGGGCCGGCGAGGATCTTCATAAGTTGGTCGCTTCCAATGTAGAAAAGCTTGCAAAATACCTAGAAGGTATTACTCAACTTATTAACTTTGTTAGTTTCCATAAACAAATAAATAAAAACTTTGTTAGTTAGTTTTACCTGGATATTATTTAACATGAAAGGCAACTAAACAGTAGAGTATTACAGGTTTTGAAGGTGAATTTTTCCAGCCTTTAGAGGATGGAAGGAATGTTAAGGTCTCCAACTCTGATAAATCATTTCTTCAAGGATATAAAAAAGTCCTAAACTCGAAATCCACTGAAGAATCCGTGGTACATACTGTTTCCACTTAAATTCCACTTACATGCATTTTTGTCTTTGCGTGAGTGCCACTATCTTCGATTCATTTTATCATCTATTGGCTATGCTAATAGATTTAGTGAATGATCTTACACTTAATGCAGGCAAATCTAGCAAGATGGGAACCTGGACATGGCCGCTTTGGTTTCCGGCATCCATGGAAACAATACCTGAAGATTGGAGCCCTCTCACGTCAATGTGCTTACCAGATTGAAGCTCTTGATGCCTACATCAACTCTCATAACCAAGTAATATACCACGGCATGGTACGCCGTCTACATGCTAATGTTGCCCACGTGTAGGAAATAGAAGTACAATTCTCACCTGAAACATTCCGTACTTTCTGCCAATTCCTTTTGAAGTTTTCCCTACCACATTTAGATTGAGCCATTTTTTAACTAAAAGAACAATTTTAAATTAGATATCAACATCTAATGATTCCATCACGCTAATCTAATGATTCCATCACGCTAAGTCCACCAAATATACTTTCCTCTATTCAATATTAATATTCCAATTGTATTAATAGTTGAATTTATGACATGCACACCATCCAAAGTGTTTTCATTAAATCACCCGACAAAGCTGCTTTTGAGAGATTTTTCTATCTGACAAATGGTTAATGTCAAAAGCTGAAACATATTATGCTACACTTTTCAGGCACCACTGAACTTCCGATGCAAAATCCAAGGACCGTGTACAAGGATGTTTATAGAATGCAGCATGGCGCTGGAATCATTGGCCTCAGCTATCAAAACAATGACTCTTCCATCTTCAGCAAATGTCCATGTGGAGAACTCGAAAACTGCCATCAAGGATCTCAAAATTGCTATTAAAACTGTCTCATTGGACCAGGATCAAGACCTTTTAGCAATTGTACCAGCTGCAACAGTTGCTTCAATAATAATTGAGATTGTTAAATGCGTGGAAAATTTATCTGAATCAGTGCACGAGCTCTCTAATCTAGCACACTTCAAGAGTGTGGAATCGACTGTCTCCCTAGAGAAACCGCAGTTTCTTCACCGGGGAAGCATAAAACCTGTTTTAGAAGGTGATGCTGACCGTGTTATTATTGCAATAGACGGGAAGTCTGCGGATTCACCAGAAAGTGAGAATACTCAAGGTCCAATGCCTGGTCAGCGTCTGGAGGTGTAAATATTTTACACTGACAAACATGTAATCTATTGCGACGGACGTCAATATTATTCAACAAATTCTCCTATTGTATTAACTCCCTTGTAACATGTCTGATAATGAAATTGAAATTGTGGAAATTAATAAAACAGTATACTTTTAAGCTAAATTATCCAATTCTATCCTGAGCTTTGAATAAATAGGATTTTTTTAATAAAAAACAAGTGTTAATAATAATTAAATTAAAAAAAGTTTAGAAACTTGTTTTAGTCTGACTAAAAGCTTAGGATAAAATTATATAATTTAACTTATTCTTTTTCCTAGGCTATTGTCAGTTCTATTTAGAGTACTTACTTCTTCTGCTTCTTCTTTTTTTTTTTAACAATAAGAGTTTCTTACAGCCTAAATTTTTCAAATATTGAAACTACCCGTTGACATTGAGTAGTAAATAGACCATCTACATCCAAATCCATCGATCCAGTCATAACAAATTATCTTTTACATACAAATGGTTAAATAAATCATGCTAATGCTGCCCATATATATACAAGAAAAGCACAAAGTTGGGATATGTTTTGGTTCATAAAACCCCTTTAGTTTAGTAATGAGTTAATAGATACTTTTTAAAGTATTTTTAATTTTGAAATATATTAAAAAAATTATTTTTAAATTTTATTTTTAATGTAAGCATTTCAAAATCTAAAAATATAAAAAAATATTTTTTAAAAAAAATATTTTTAAAATATAAAAATAAATTATTTCTTTAGATGACAAGAGCTTGAGCCAAACTTAATAGATATTTCTCCCTTCGTTAATCAAGCCTTGCTTTGCTTGGCTAAGAGCACGACCAGTTTTCTATAGGTTTTACTATACAAAATTTCATGAATTATTCATATTTTGATCGATAACTTTTATCATTTTTTTTTATTAATATGAATGTTCGGACTAACTAACTTATATGCATCTCAATTAATCTCATAAGCCCTAAAGTTAACAACTATATAAATCTCCAGTGGCCTTGAGATTTATGGGACTCGAACTAGTGATCTCTAAGGAGCAAACCTAGAACTTGACTAATTGTGCTACACCTCTCAAGGTTAACAAACATGTTTTCTTAAATGTAAGAGCTATGGTGTGTTTGAATGATAATGTCCTTATGTTAAAATACTAAAGTATTCAATTCAATCAATTAAACAACTTTTTAATATAAAAACTTATTTTTAAACTCAAATGAGAATTAAAATTAAAATTTTGATTTTGATTTTTATTTTAGTTTTTCAATTTAAATTTTTTAAATCTTAAAACATTGTAATCAGGTGATGATTCAGTTTCTAATTTGTCATAATGAACTTACATCAATCTTTTATTTGGTGATAGATTGTCGTTAACTAATACCAACCGAAACTAATTAATAAAAAAAGAATTAAATCAAAACCTCTTATAATTTATGTATTAAAATAAAATAAAAAAGAAAACAATACTAGAAAATTGCTAAATGCCAACTAAATATTCCGTTGATGTTTATATTTGATATTCATCGACATCATAATTCCCAATGGAATTGTTGAAAAATTTGTTAAAATATGGTTAATGGATATATTTGAAGCCAAATTAAAAGTGGAGTCCACTCACTTTTTGGGTTAAAACTTGTTGGTACTTAATCTCTTACATAAGTTCTTTAATATGGAATATTAACATGTTTTAAATAAATTATGGGTGAATAAAAAATTAATCTCAAAAAATCTTTGGTTTACATATTTTAGTGAAACTCAAAACCTTTTAAAAAAAATATTTTATCTCTTGTAGGAAAGGGAAAAAAAATTATTGGTGTTTATAAAATTGGTAGTTCTTAGATAAGAGAGGTTCTAGACAAAGTGGGCTTTGTACCTACACTCACACACATGCTTAAGGATGATAAAAAATTTTGTTCGTTTACGTTCGGGTCAGGTTTGGGTGATACCTGAAGTCAAAAGATCAAGTTTGAGTAAGGTATGAATATTGCATTTCCCGACCTGAAACCCTATCCAATCTACATAGAAAACCTTAAAATTTGAAAAAACATTATAGTTTGTACCAAACTATATGTTGAAAATTTAGGCTTTGCCAACTACTTCATCTGTCACCACTCACTCTTTTGCTCTCTTTCTCATATTATCTTTCTCTTCAATCCCCACTTCTTTAGTCAATAATAGACATTGACATAACACTAGCAAGAAGCTGATCCAACTATTTTGTCTCAAAAGATAACAACACCAACACCTAAGGTTGGTTTATCATTGTATTTTATTTTTTATTTTTTGTATTTTGATACATACAATAAAACCTTTTAAAAGAGGCTTTCCTTTCTATTTAAATTTTAAAAGGAAAAAAGCCTTTCTATCATTTTCAAAATGTTTTAATAAGAAAATTCTGGAAAATTTGATTCTTATCAATCTTGTAATATGATGGGTATTTCAATGTTAAATTGAATTGTAGGTAGTTGTATAGTCGATTTTCCTTTATGCCTAGTAGTTAATTTGATATTATGCTAGCTTCTTTTTTTTTTAGTTTTTAATTCATGATGTTAATAGAATGTCTTGTCAATTTACATTCCTTGCTCTATCTAGGTTATCAAATTGTATTTCTCGATGAGAGATTATCATGAGAATTGTGAATTGAATTGATTGGGTTGCGAGATGAAATCAAGTTAATGACTTTATGTTATGTTATCAAGCAAATGTTGTTAACATGTTTTCATTTTGTGACTACAGATGGAAAACCTTAAAAATCAAAATGCTTCATCAACTAGCACTACCCTAATAGTAATCAATGCCCTAACTTCAAACATTACACTAGCATCAACCACTGCAGGATATGTTACGGATAATAAAGGTAAACAGCTTGAAGTTCTTATATCAAAGAAAATAAATATTGATGATAGAAAAAAAAATCACAAATTT